AGATATAATGGTTTCAAAACAACTGAATCGAGTCTGAATGTGTCCACGTGAACGTTGAAAGAACACATTCAATCACTCAAAAATCAAAAGGAGACTCAGCTCCCCCTGCATGTTCTACACACTAGCCAGCGTCCCTGAGGGACGGTGAACACACATCTCTGTGGAATCCTGCCTGGTAACAAATGAGAAATAAGAGGACGTGAGTTTCCCATGTCCACACCACATGTGATGGCCCAGGCCTCAGGCCTCAAGTCTGTGATGCCCACAGAGACCAGCCCTGCATCCTCAGGCAGGAGCCGGGCCCGCAGCCTGCTGTGGACTGAGCAGGAGCCTCATCAGGTCTCACGTCCAGCTGCCGGTCACAGGGAAGCAAAGGACACAGGGGCCTGGGAGGACAGCAGAGCTGCCTGTGGGCGGCGGAGACTTCACATTCAGGGTGGGCAACCGGGTGAGAGGCAGGCAAGGGGGAGACTGCGTGGGTGGTCTGGGTGGGGGTGCAGGGGATCAGGGGGAGAGAGGAGCCTGGAGCATGTGGGGAGGGACAGCCCAGCCCGGGGTCCTCCTGGTCCCAGGCCCACCCTGCTGGGAGGACTCATGGGCTGGCCTGCAGCTCTCCCGCCTTCCACAGAGCTCCTCTGGCACAGCCCATTGTCTACTCAGGCTGAGACATGAGGCTGCAGCAGGTGTGTGGACTCTCCCCCAGGGGCCCCCTGAGCAGGGAGGCCCAGACCCAAAGGCCTCAGCTCCTGACAAACCCAGCCCACAACGATGCACTTGCTCCTGGCAGAGAACTTGTCACCATCTTTGGACAAGACAACAGTAGTCGCTGTCCCTGAGATATTAATAGGAACAGCCATCTTCAGCAGGGTGATGTTATTAAAGACATGAGTCATAGGGTGACGAATAACCTGTGGGTTCCAACCAACAGAGAAGATTAGAGTAATGAATCCCATGTGGGACCTCAGGGGGACAAGTATCAGGGGAGGCCAGGACAGCAACAGGGCTCCGTATGCTCCCCGCAAACAGTCTTCCCAATTCCAGGCCCCCAACCTTCAGGGGTTATGCACTAGAACCTGACATACCTTGGCAACCTCTATTCGATGCATGATATTCTTATTTGAATGCGGGTTATACATCCCCACAACAACCCAGTCAGATGTCCTAGAAGGAGGAGGTGTGTGAGACTCAGAAGGAGGCCCCTGCCCCCTGCCCCCAGGACCCTTCCTCACGTGACATTGCAGGTGGCACTGGTGAGCACCCATCTCCTGTGGATCAGGGAGCCCCCGCAGATCAAGGCGCCACTGGGACTCTGTAGGAAGAAGGCAGGGTCACACTGGCAGGCCCCCAGTCCCCGAGTCTGCAGAGCAGCCCCCTACAAGGGCTTTCTGCCAGAGAAACCACTC